CCACGTGAGGCCAGGCGTTGCATCAGGAGGAACCCAGGACCTACTAGGGTAGGTCTGACCATCGGTTCAAGGATTCCATCCCGATACCTAATGGCAGTCACACTTCCGTCCCTCCATGGACACGCCTCCCCAGACCATCACTGACCCACCACCAAGCTCCGGGTGCTGGCCAGCGAGCACTGTAGGACGTCACGCCCTGAGGCCGCCATCATGAAGTCTGTTTCTGATTCTTTGGGCAGAGACATCCACACCAGTGGGCTGCTGGAGGTTAATTCTGTAGGGCTCAGGCAGTGCTCAACATTGCACAAAGCAGCAGATATAAACCCTGCTGGTGGGCTGAGGACCTTCTACGCCACTATCCAGCTCTCCTAGAGTAACTGCCTGTCTCCTGGAATCTCCTCCATGCTCTGGGGATTGTGCTGGGAGACGCATCAGATCTTTTCACGACGCCACATGTGAATTTGCCCACCTGGAAGAGCTGGACGATCTGTGCCACTACAATAGGGTTAAGAAATGGCCTCATGCTCACAGTACTGGTAATGACTCCTACTACAGCCAACACTAGTGGAAAGAGATCACGAGGGAGAAACTTGATATGCGAAACCAGTCCTGTTTTGGGGGTCGTCTCATTGTTGCCCCTCTTGTGCACCTGTAGTTGATCCCATCATCACCAATGCAGCTGAAACTGATTAGGAACCCCCTCTCCTACCTGACCAGATCAATATCAGAGAAGTGCAATTGAATTCATGCCACACGCTGATAAAAGATTTTTTCTTTCATTTTTTGAGCAGGGAATATGTAATGTATAAGTTAATTTAATTTGTTTTCTTTCATTACTTTCACAAAATTAACTGAACATCTCATATATAAATCCGAACAATATTTGTCATTCCTTTAAATGTATCCAGTTGAAAGGAAATATTCTTGTTTACAAAGAGATGTTGCTCTGTTGGGGAAGTCCTGATGTCCTTTAGTACAGAGCTGTCAGGTGAGACAAGGGAAAAAACAAGGGTGGCACCCTGTGGTTCAGCCGACTCCATCACCACATCCAGAAATTCAAATTACCAGTGGATGATTGTGCACCTGCAATCTGTAACTGCAATGAAAACATGACAATGTCCTTTTCAAATGATGTGATTGTACATGAAAAGTTTAAATAAAAAAATAAGCTATTTAATTATGTTTACAAAAAGGACCACCAAGTTATCTTGAAAATGTCCAATCACAGTCAATTTATTTTCATGTTCTCCTTTAATGATCACAAATAGTTTGCCCTCAAATGAACCATCATATTCCTGATGGTTCTGTGTATGAATGGGTTGGGAAAGGGTTGACATGTGGTCAGAATTCATTTCCTCATTTTACATATGATTTCCATTGCAGCTGGCCCTGCATCATGCAAAACAGAGCCATATTTCTTCCCAATCCCCTCTGAGTGAATATGGAAAGATTTAAAGTACATATGAGCAGGAGAGAAGAGGCCATCGGGTCAACAGACAAAACCCTTTTCTCTTAATCAAACCACAAAACATGTTATATTAGGTTTTGAGGTGATGATGTGGTGGTTTATTTTCATTTTTTCCGAGAGTGCAGAGAGGTGTGTACTGTTGTTGCCACGACACAACCATGCTCGATCACCCGCAAGCAAAAAAAACAAAACTAAGCTTTTTTTGCATTGGAGCCGGCCTCACTTATTTGTAGAGGGACTTTAGGTTGCTAAAGGTTACCGGCCTCCCTGTTTAAGTTTTGTTAGAATGATTTACATTAGATATCTTTATTGTTAACATCCAGTTGGTGCAGTGTTTGTCTGGCTTTTATTTTGCCGCATACAACCTCAATATTTTCCTATTCACTTCATATTAAAACAGTGGATGACGAGTGGAATGCTCTGCAGGACAGTCACCTGTGTGTCTGTGAGGCAGATGAGACTCAACCAGGTCTCAACCATCTCAATCCTCAAGGTGGCAGCAGACTGCAGGAAACTAATCATTAGGAGACGGAAACACGAGAGCCAAAAATGACTTTAATGGCACCTCAAAGTCAAATTGTTGGCTCTCATCTGTGCTTTCCTGTGTTAGTATACTAAAAAAGATATTTTAATGAGATTAACATGCAGTTTGTGCATGTTAATCTCATTAAAATATCTTTTTCTTGACCATTATGCTTTTAATCTGTATTTTTAGAATATAACAACTTTAACTAATTGCTCGAAAAAGGCTTTTTATACAATAGCTTTGTGTTCCTGTGTGGTTGTTATCAATCCCCTACAGGATAGAAGGTTTAGGTTTTGGCCTTTAAGCACTAGAGCAACATTTGTGAAGCAAAGGTTGGGAATTTAAAAACACACACCAGGATTTTCTTTTCCTCCACTTTGCTGCCAGGTAAAATCTAATTCTCTTTTAAATGTTTAGTGTTTTGTCCTTCAGTTGGAAGTGAGCCCCCCGTCGAGCTGTAGAGAAAAGAAAAAGAGTGTAGTCGTCCTGAGCATTATCATCATTTACATTATGATGACCTTATTTCAGAAGGCGGTGCAGGGAGCAGTGAGTAGGATGTGAGAAAGGGTGTTTGGGGAGTTGAGTTCACACTTATCTATAGCCCCAGTTTACATTTTTGTTAGATTAGAGTCACGCTGCAAAACATCCGCTTCACTAAAAACAAAACTCCTGACAGTCTTTTAAAAGCCCAAACTCCGGGCTGCCGGCTTTATACTCAGTCTGTTTCCAACAACAATTTTGTCATTGTTTGAAAAAACACTCCTCATCTGTCATGTCTGGTGTTACCTGCAGTATTTATGTTTTTTAACACGGACTGCTGTTCTGAAGATTTTTCCATGACCCTCAAAGACTCTGCTAATAATCAGAAATAACAAAAGATTCAGACCACAGTTTCCACCAACCTTCACACAGACACCAGTGTTTCCCTATTCCAACAAACATGGTACCCGAACGTGATTTCTTTATTCAATTTGTTCACCGTAAAACAAAAATAAAAATGTGTTGTCACTAGTCTGTATTTATGTTTATGTATTTATGTTAGAATAATCATGTGTACGTGATGTCATACAAAAGGGAGCAAAAGGAAATGGCGGACTACTTATTTTTTTAATATAAAAATATGCCCTTCTGTGAATTAAAACTAATACAATTCATGAGATTGTATTAGACATTTATCTACAAGTTAAATCAGTCGCTTAAAGACAATACTTAATTATCTTCCTTGACAAATCATCAGAGGATGTGACGATTTGCTAGCGGCCCAGAGAAGAGGTACAGTGATTGTCTCATCAGCATTATCCTATTAGCACACGATGTCGTACTTATATGGAGTACTAATGACGTGAGAACAGAACAAAATACAGTGTCTCTCTTTCCTATATACAATATCTAATTTCCAGATCTTTGACAATGCAGCAATGACCTCATGAAAACACAAGACTGTCTTGTCTGTTGCGTTGGGCTGCTGTTTGAAAGGCCCTTCTCCATTTAAACAGCTGCTGTGGCTCCAACTAGATGACCTCATTTCCATGCAGCCTCGGGGCTTCGCTTCATATGGCGAATAGAGCCTTATTGTGAGCTTTTTTTAGAATATTCCTTGTGCACACAGAGTGGTGGTTGACAACTTCTGAAGGATGGTGTTCCCTGTCTGTGAAGTGACCTAATGTGATTTGTATATTTTCACAAACACTTTCATATCATTTTTATGTTGGGCTTTTGAACACACGCCAACTTACTTGTAACTTAAGAGTAAAAAGAACATGCTATACAGTAGCATCCCACACAATAAAAACATGGATCTGATTGATTTAAAAAACATTATACTGTAAAGAATTGGTTTCACGGGTAGTCGTGCGCCAAATTTTGTGTGAAAGTGTATCCACTATGTATGTGTGTGCCTCTTTATGTTAACAATCCCACAATGCAATGCCCTGTATTCAGGAAAATTACAATAGTGCAACTTGTCAACTGGCAGTTACGATGCAAAAAGATGCTAATATGCAACAGGACGAAAATCTCAATTTGCTGTTTACTATTAAGTAAACATTTGACCATTATTTAGGGGGTACTGAAGAAATACACAAGGCAGTGTGCACGGTGCCTTATCTGTTTTCCCATTTTCTTGTCATTGTGCTACGCTAAGCTAACTGGCTGCAGGCCGTATCCTCACATCCCCGTACAGACGCGTGTAATCCGTCTTCTCGTCTGAACCTTTTAAGCAATGTGTGTTTACCAATTATGTTTTACTGTTGACATCAAACCTTACCACAGCGTAATTATATCTATCTTGAAAGGTCTGTATCATCATAAGTCACCAGGATGAGTAATACTGATAATTACTAATATTATTATTTCATGCCAGAGTGTCTTGGAAAGCTTCTCGGCGACAAGAAACCAGAGACAATAGTTCATAAAATGATGATAAAATATTTACATTAAATCACAGAATATGAAAGGTTCAGAAGTCATACTGTTTACATTCAATCTGAACAAAGTAAAAGACCAATGTTGATGTGAGTCATAAGTGCCGTAAGTCTGGACCAGGACAAGCATAATAACTCATCCCATATTTTCTCATATCAAATCATTGGGTCTGTTTGAGCGCACGCTGCTCATGTCATTTTGCAATATTGTTTTGTGGAGATGAATTATTATTCTTTGTGGTAAATCCATCAAAGTAAGGTCATCCCCCAACTGGGGCAGACTGAGCCACGGGTTGGGTTAAAAGGTCAAAACAACGAGTCTTAAAAGTTAACGTCCTGCAGCAACAGAATAAATTTCTCTTTTCTTTTTTAATAGTGCCTTCCCATTTTACGTCCCGTCAGACTCAGTCAAACGTCTTTCCGCGACGTCCGCTACAGCTCTTAAAACGCAAGAGGACATGGTGGTTTGTTCCCGGGGAGGCCCATGCTTTCCATGGTCCTGAAACAAACATTTCTCTCTGTCTCCGTCATGTTCTTGTCAGAGGAGGAGTGACATCCACACAGGGTTACTTTTTGCTTCTCTAACTAAAATCGCTCATTCATCTCCTTCCCAGCTGAAAAGGTAAGAAAACATTTTGTACCAAACTACCGCAAACAAGGACACTTACTGACATCCTTTTTTTTAGAAAATGACCCTGACTTAAGGAACGTACCTGGTGCAAATGTTACGAATGCAGCAGAGTCCAGCACATTTCATGATGTCAGAAAAGGATTTCCTGCTTTGTAACGATGTAAAGAAGAAAGTCTTCATTTAAACAATGCTGAGTCTAATGAACGCATTTGGAGTACAAAATTATCCACTGTAGAAAGATGAAGCACCATGAAGGGAATATTAACATATTGATTAAAACGTCACCAATAAATATTCCAGGATTACGGTGTGATCCGTTATTGATTGAAATTGTGGCCTCCGCGTGCCGTCTCAGCTTCCTGCTTGTGATAACTGAAGAGCAGGACTGGGTTTGATTGTCTTCATTGTTCCCTGAGGTTGATTTCGAAATGTTTATCATCACCGCTGAAAGGTTTCAATCAGCCGCCAGCAGTGGCTCCCGCCTCTGGATTCCCCGGCCTCCCTGCTCCTGTGGAATCCCCCTGATTACACCACCTCGTGTTTCAGGGGTAAACCTGATTTCAAACAGCCTCTGTCTGAAATCCTGTTTACTTCTGACCCGAGCACGACTCCTATCTCTTCCAAAAAAGACTAGTTTAACCCTTCTTTGTGTGATATCTCTTTTACACGCTATCATTTCGGATGTATTTGGTTGTCCGGCCCACACTGTTCACTCTTTTCTGCTATTTCTTTTTTTTCCTCTTCACTTTTCTTTCTTACTGGCTCTGTGGCAGTGCGTGTGTTGAATATTCAGTGTTTCTATTTTCTTCTGTCTGTTACACTGCTGTGCGAAGCCAAAGCGCAGGTTGATGGGAAATTTCCAACTGGTCATATAATAGTTGGTCTATAATTATTCAAATGTTGTTTTCACAAATTACTCTGTCAAACAATGCCTGTAACGATGTATGTACCAAATTTGCGTATCTTTCCCTCAATGTCATATGCATGCATGTGTATTTCCAAGCTTTGCAGTTGCTGATTAAAATCCATCTTGGCAAACATCCACAATGATGCTACAGACTTTCTGTCTGAAATACGTTTGTTTAGAACACGTACATTAAACCATAAAATACATTTATGAGATCGGAATCTCTTTTTCAAATAATATTGAGTAGTGCAACCCTTTGATCCCTGCAGTCGTTAAAGCTTTTCTTTGACGTGACAGAAACTAAAGTCTCTGCAAACAAGCCCCTCTCCCCACCCAGTGAAGCACTCTGCAGCGGACTGTGGTATCGCTCGTCATATCAGAGACTTCTTAAAGCCGAGCTCGCCCAGCCTGATGAGTACTACTAGACGCGTATTACCGGTGCAGCTGTTGCAGGCGGCTTCTGCTGGATCTAATTACCATGTTTCTGTGCCTGTCAGAGAAATGCTGCTTGCCTCCCTGACTCTCTCCAGTGACCCTCCATTACAATTAGGGAGGTCCAGTAATGTAGGGCGTGTTAGCTTGAATGAAGGGAAGAAGCCTTTTTTCCAGCATTGCCAATGGTTCCCAAACCGGGTGTCGCAGTAGGCCGAGCAAGGGGCAGCGGCCTCGTCGCCAACCCTAACACGAATTCGGAAAGACAGCAAAAAAGACAGAGGTGCGACACTGGGAGAATGGTTTGGAAAAACTTCCTGTGAAATGTGGAAATAAAAGGAAATAAACAGGTTCTGTTCCCGAGTGCAGGCTCTTGGAGTTTGGTTTGACTGTTCTGGGCAACTCTACAGACATGTAGGTGCAACATCACAGAGTCAGCGAAGAGGACCCTTTTGCAGACATGAAGGGCTCATTATAAGGAAACGGGAACACAAGAATTCGTAGTTTTACGTGATTATAAACTGATAAAAACACAAAATGTCTTTGCGGTGAGGCGCTAATGTGCACACACAGACCCTAACCCGCATACTAACTCTAATCCAACCCCGATTTGTTTGCTCAAATCTAACCAGGTCATTCTAGACAAGTCAAACCTATGAATCAGAGGCTGTCGAGACCTAAGAATTAAGCTCTTTCTCGTCTGCGAGAGAAAAGGCTCAGAATGGGTCTTTGATTAGTAAGGGATAGAGCTGGAGATGCTGTAATGAAGTTTCATCTGACTGTAAGAGCAGGAAGGAAACATCTCTCAGGTGCACGATGATGTTATCAAGGGGCCTAATGGAGTCACTTACATGGTTTCAGCAGCGTCCAACAACCATCATGGTCTCAACTAAGTATCTTGATATTGATTTTGTGATCAGAATACATCAGTTAATGACATTGATATGCTGTGTACATTGGTGTATTCCTGATGTTTTATAACATATTAAAACACTAGAAAATGCATTTCTTGCTAAAAATGCATTGGAATGCAAAAAGCTCAAAGCTGAAATTAATTTTTAAAAATTACAGAAAGTTGAAGGAAATTTGAATACATTTGCTGAAATTACAGATATTAGAAAAGCTGAAATTAATTTGAAATTGCTGAAAATACAGAAATGGGAGAAGCTGAAAGGAATTTCAATAGATTTGCTGAAAAAGCAGAAATGAAAACAGCTGAAATAAATGTGAAATATTGCAAAAAAGAAGTTGCAGGAGCTTAAATGAATAATTAATATTAAAACATTGCTGTTAATAGGTAATAAGAAAAGCTGAAATTATTTTAAAAAACAGCTGAAAATACAGGTGGGGAAGCTGAATTTCAATAGATTTTCTAAAAAAGTAAAGAAGTTGCAGGAGCTTAAATGAATAAAAAAGTACAGAAATAACAAAAGCTGAGATGAATAAAAATAGGTTTAAAATTGTTTGTAGTAATATTATTAGTAGTAGTATTAGTTATAGTTGTAATTGTGGTATTAGTAGTACTAGCAGTAGAAGTCGGTTTAGTATCAATAGCAGTAGAAACAGCTGGAATACTGACACTATTAGCCATAGTAGTATTTGTAATAACATTAGTAGTAGTTGCAGTATTAATAGCAGTAGAAATACTAGTAGTATGGTAGTAGAAGTATCAGTTGTAGTACTAGAAGTACTAGTAATATTCGTAGTGGTTGTAGTAGTATTTGAAAGAGCAATACGTTTTTCAACGAAACCGCTTCATGGTTAAGGTACAGATGATCATTGAGGCTTTTATTTTGTAATGATGGAATTGGGTGAGGGGGGGTTGGGAGACAGAATGTTTGTTATTCAAACTAAGACGTTTTTAATTAATATTGGGCCCATTAACGAGCTGCTGCAAAGGGCAGACACAGGACTGCGAGTTACACAGAATCCACACCTCAAACAAATGACCACCATCGCAAAACTATAACAGCTATGTAAAAAATACGCCAAGACTCTACCGAACGCGTGGATGTGTGTTTTATGTCTGTCCGGTAATAAATACGGCTCCTATGGCCGTTGACAAAACGTGTACCTTGTGGATTTTTTGAGAAATATGTCGGCAGATTTGTATTGGAGCCTATGGGGCTTTTGGCAGAGGTTGTGTCACTCTAACACTCCTTGCGCCAAAACTAAAGAACTCTGGGATTCCATGAACGCATTACTCCAATCAGCACAACCATGCCCTCATTAATCTGAAGAAATGAAGCCTCTAGAGTGTATACTTTGGCTGCAAGGACAGAAGTTCCATATTTTTTCAACCAGATTCTGGCGCTGCCTCACACTCTAAGATCTCCGGGTCTCCCTCTAGCAGACGCAATACACACTCATGTAAAAGTCAGAAACGGAGCAAAGAACTAGTGAAACATAATCAGTGATTATGAAAAAAGTACAATAGATATCAACAAGCAGTTTTTTCATAAAATAGTTGAGACTTGTGTGAACATTTGAAAGTTTAAAGGGTGTCTGTAGCTAAAAGATTTGCAAAGTTGAAAAATCTGAAAGTTGAAGAAGTTTAAGAGGATTTGAAAACAAACTCCATTTGAAAACCATGTTAAAATATTAATCATTATTGATTTATATAAATTCAAGTTTAAGAGGTAGAAAGCTGAAACGCCATAGCCCTAAAGCCAGAAAGAAGCTGAACATTTTAATATTTGAACGGTTTTAATAGCGGAAAGTGTGAAGGAGTTAAAAGGTGCCACGGAAGAAATAGAATAAGTTGAAATAAAGAATAGAAGAACATGTCAGGATCTCCAATCCCCCCGAGTTGGTTGATGAGAAGAATCGCAGCACGTTGATCAATTAAAGTCAAAAGTTAACGTGTATTTAGAAGACTAAAAGATTACATGAGCAACTATTATATTCTAACTATTGCTTGCAAGCAGGAGGTCCAACACACCAGCACGTATCTCAGCGCTCGGCGTAATGACGTCTCCGAGCAGTGAAAACGCTGAGTTTTTATACACATGTGGAGGACATTCTCCGTGCCAGTTACGAGAAGCTACAAAGCAGGTTGAGATAAGAACCCAGGTGAAGCTGAGGGTAGCACACGCACACACAAGATCCTCCTCAGTGCAAATCATTATTAATTGACATAAAGTAAAAAATATGGATCCGGAACTTTCGTACTGAATAAGATATGAACCAAGGCCATGAACAGGAGTCCTTTGTTTTGCAGCGTCTATGAGATCGAGTCGACCGTCCTCCCTTCTCAGTGCGCAGCTGCAAAGCAACATTTTGTATCATGCTGCTCCTTGCACTTCAGGGTCAAATACAGGACACTTGAGACACGGCTTTAGCACAAAACAATGTTATAATATATTTTACCACTACATGCATCTCACAAACAATACTTGGAATGCTTAATACATTCCAAAAATAAAGATTCAAAGAACAATACTTGGAATGCTTAATGCATTCCAACAATTACAGTAACTGTAATAATACTTTGCCTTTATTGTGGTGTTTTACTGACTGTTTGCTGGTAAGCTTTTGAATACATTTTGGATTTGGATTTTGGAAGCGTTTGTATTTTTTGTGTGGTTGGAAATCGGTCAATATACACATTAAAAAGATTAGGAGATTTTGTGTTATTCCTTGGTATCCTTTAATTTTCTTACACTATGAAGGGGAGTTTTGTGTCGTTCAAGAACTCTGTGGAGGTGTAGGAAGCTCTGTCTCGTAAAACTTTAAGGTCGCTCATGATGAAGAGAGTAGAGCTCAGGCCAAGGAATCCAAGGAAAGTATAAAACTCCCCCAAACAAATAATCATAATAAAACATGGTTTCAAGAAGTCCTTCGAGGTAATTAACATCTACAAGCTGAACGTACAATAGCAGACACAGAAAACACAGCTGTTGCTGCCCATATTTGCTCACCTGTTCATCCGTCACACCTAAAAAACCCTCAAACCGGCAGGAGGTTTACACTTTGAAAGCTACGCATTATTGAGCAATTTGTAGCTGTGCAGAGAGAAATAAGCAGAGCAGTAGAAAAGTAACTGGTATCAGAAAAAACCCATTGAAAGAGATTGAACTTTAGAATTTTTGTGTTCATCAGGTATTGGACAGTGATGATTTGAGCCTGAGACGGATATCCAAAACCAGACAGCATGAAGACTCTGAATTCGTCCCACACCAACTTCCGCAGCAGTGGTGACGCCGCCGACCGCTCCTCTGGAAGCCCGTACTCAGCTGTGGAGATCGTCCTCATCGTCCTGGTGGCTGCAACTGTGAGTGTGATCACTGTGATCGGAAACATCCTGGTCATGCTCTCCATAAAGGTTCGGACTTTCTGCTTTTACAATTCAAATCATTTACGATTCAAAATGTATCCTCCTAAACACCTTGAAAAGTACACCAGGACAATACGGCACGTGCAACCGTGTACAGAGAGGTAATCTAATGTGCGCAGACAAAAAAAGATTAGTATCTGACAGCCTGCCCCATTCTGTTTCTCTAAAGGTAAACAGGAACCTGCAGACAGTCAACATCTACTTCCTGTTCAGCCTGGCCTGTGCAGACCTCATTATTGGCGTCTGCTCCATGAACGTCTACACGGTCTATATAGTGATCGGCTTCTGGCCCCTGGGAGCCGTGGTGTGTGATCTGTGGCTGGCTGTTGATTATGTCGTCAGCAACGCCTCCGTCATGAACCTGCTCATCATTAGTTTCGACCGTTACTTCTGCGTCACCAAACCGCTCAGCTACCCGGCACGCCGCAGCACCAAGATGGCGGGTCTGATGATTGCGGCTGCCTGGGTCATGTCCTTCATTCTCTGGGCTCCCGCCATTTTGTTTTGGCAGTTCGTCGTGGGCGGGAGGACTGTGCCGTTCGGCGAGTGCTACATCCAGTTTTTCTCAAATCCCGCGGTGACGTTCGGGACCGCCATAGCGGCTTTTTACCTCCCAGTCGCCATCATGATCTACCTGTACTGGCGCATATCCAAGGCGAGCCGCAGCCGCATTGGAGGAAGGGCAGCAGAAAGATCTCAGGCACCAGTCTGGGAGAGGGCCCCTCTCACAGCCAGGATGAGGCGTGTGAGCGCCAGAACAACTGCATCACAGGAAAGGAGGCTCAGCTGGAGGCTAAAGGCCTCCCCGAAGAGGAGAGAAACCGTGCGTCAACAACCAAGGACACCGAGGCCCCCGATTCATCAGGGAAAGATCCTGATTGTGGAGAAACTACAAAGCAAACACCTTCTTCAGAGAAATCAGCTGACAGACAAAGTGTGCCAGCGAGGACACTGTTAAAGGTAAAGTTCTTGCCTGGCTCAAAGCTTTGTCCTTATGATTTGGAAGAAAACACAGTTTGAATTAGACTTAAAGCTCCAGCGCTTTAGGTAAAGCACCGTCGGACCTTACAACGTCTGGTCCAAATACCTCCTCCACATGGTGGATTGTCATAAAGTTTGGTACAGAAAATCATTGTCCTCTGAGGATGAAGCTTGCTCTAGTGATCCTGTGACCCTTCAGCACCACTAAGGGGTTCCCATTGTGCTTTGTGTGAAATGTTTCTATTGGCTGGGTTGTCATACAATTAGGTTTAGAGATTCTTGTTGACCACAGGGTGAACTGTAGTGATCCAAATTTTAATATACATATAAAAAATATATTTTTGATTATTTAATTATCTGCTAAATTGAACACATTCTCATCAGCCTCAGCTTTAATTTCTGTTCATTGTGATCGAGAAATGTTAGCATGCTAACATACTAGGGTTAGGGCATCTTAGGGCACCGCTAGGGTCAACATCCAGTTAAAAATCACATACGTGCTAACGTTCTCCAGGTCGCCAGAAATGCATTTCAAAAAGAAAGCTATTGTTCCTCCATATTTGCTGTATGTGGAAATAAGTACTTGTTAGCTTAGAAGTTAGCCTTAAAACTTTGTAAATATTCAATACGTCGAACCCTAACCCTCACCCAAGTTTGCAGCTTGTTCCAACGCCCAAGAACCATGAACAATATCTTTTCTACTCTCATTTCTAGATGACAAAGCAGAACGCTGTTGCAAAGTGGAAAAGGAAGGGCATTTCTTCCAGGGAGAAAAAGGTGACGCGCACCATCATGGCCATCCTGGTCGCTTTCGTTGCCACGTGGACGCCGTACAACGTGATGGTCCTGATCAACACCTTCTGTTCCGTCTGCATCCCAAACTCCCTCTGGACAATCGGCTACTGGCTCTGCTACATCAACAGCACCATCAACCCAGCCTGCTACGCCCTCTGCAACGCCACCTTCAAAAACACCTTCAAGCACCTGCTCCTGTGCCAGTACAAGAACATACGTACGGCGCGATAAGGGTCAGAACAGTGACCCGTGTTTGTGATGTTCAAAATAACGTGACGACTCACAGACGTCAAGCTATAGAATAGTTGTGTTCTTATTAGTTTTCAGTGGAACCTTTTCTAAATGTCACTGAGAAGGAGACTGTGCTTTGTATTCTACATGTTTCATGGTTTTTAAAGACATGCCATTGTGTTCTAATTCAATGCATTCTTGTGATAATGTAGTTTACATTGTGAAGAAGTACCTTGATTGAGTGTCAGGTGAGGATTTGCCATGCAAGATGTTTTCAGTAAAATTGTGGTTACTGTGAGTGTTTTGTGACCAAAACAGTGATTACAAGATGTATAAAAAATAAAAATACGACAAGAAGTTGATTTACTATAGAGAAGGACACTTTATTTTAAGAGTTTGTGTCAATGTGGAGCTGTGAAATAGAAGAAAATCATCCCAACTGAAAATGTGGGCTCTGTGAAACATTTTCTTTCAAGCGAGTTGAGAAAAGGAAGAATAAAATAAAAACAGCAGGGGGGGGGGTTGTGTGTGATATTATTTTTATTGTAAAATAATTATATCTGTTGTCCATGTTATTGTGAAATGAGCCCAAATGTGATCTTCATCCATAACCTCTCCTCTTTCATGTATTATTAATAATAATAAAATAATAAAAGACACAATGATTAAGAGATAACGTTTTCTTTGCCTATGTGCTCTGATGTAACGTGGTTCAGTGCAAAAAAAAGCAATGCAGTCTGATTTATTGGCTCTACCAGCACAGGAAAACCTTTGGCCAATCCCTGCTGGTCTGCTGCATGTTGGGAGGAACTATGCAGTGTACCACAAAGAAAGTGCTTTACTGCAGTAGTTTATGCACTGGAGGAAACAGCAGAAACCGTCAGGACAAGTATATAATTAGATATTTGTTGCCTACGTTTTGATATGTAGCCAACAAATATGATCATTTTTCTTTTTATTATTGACTCTAACTTACTTTTGTCCAGCTACATTCTTAACACTAAAAAATAAACCTCTCCTGGTTCCCTTTTGCACACAGAAACAGAGAAGAAGAAAACATTCTCAAACTTCTCACACTAAGCAGCTTGTTGTGAAGACGTTAAAGCTGCGGCTGGATTTTATATTTAAAAAATAAGTGTGAAATGGAGATCTGGTGCTGCTGCTTTTACATCTGACATTGACTATGGGGATATATGAATGCATCTTTTCAATTACTTTCCTCATCTGATACTTTGTACTATGGAGCACTGAGGGTCATTATATATGGTAGTTGGATAGCTGACCTGCATTGTCCTCATATATAAGGCTATTCTTAACCTTACTTCCTTCATATCTATGTAGGTATATATATATATTTAAACATATCCATCAGAAATGAGCTGGAAGCTTCTATCTGCGCTCTCTGCAGGTCTTCGATGGCCGTATTGAAATAGCAGAAAGGGGTTTTAGGTACTGTAGGATATTAGAAACAAATTGACAATCCGGTTCATAAAATTAATAAAAATGCATATAGTGTACACCAGAATACAGCCATGATTCTGAAACTGTAATCAATAAAGTAATGACAATATTGTAAAACTGACTGATTGACTAAGGATCATTCGAAATCCGAGTTACATTGAACTCAGCAGAAGACTCCCAGAGGTGTGGACACTGACTTTCACACCTTTAAGCATTGGTATAAATACCTGTAGGAACCATTGTTCTGGAGTTCACTGGTGGAGGCGACAGACGGGCACTAGGGATGGTCAAAGGACTGACCTGGGGCCTGTTGGTCGCTGAGACCAGCGGCTCCTCAGCTGAGATGTTCTTTTTACCACAACGCCATCTCCTTTATTAAATACATTTGATTTAACCTTTTGATCAGCGATGACCTCTGTCCGTCCGGCGTTTCTTCATTTTTGAACACAACAATTTGGTGACCCCGACGTGATGGAGAGCAATGGACGGACGGAGGAACAGCTGATCTGAACAAAGCCCAGCGATCGATTTTCTTCACTCACACGGCGCCATCGAAAAGGTAACCGGCAACCAGTTGTTTTAAAACCGAAATGCTGTATGTTTATCATAGAACATTTAGGTGTGAGAGGACAAGATACGATGTTTTGAGGTAAACTACATTTTAGAGAAAAAAAAAAAAAAATTCTCTTAGTTTGGATGACCGTTGTGATAAAAAGCACATTGTATGTAGTGTTTGTTTGGACGTCTTTTGTATGAGTTACCGACAAAGCTATTTGTTAATTAATGGTAAATTTACAATACATAACGGTCGGTGAATAACGTTGCGAACTTGTATATAATTGTATGTTGCGTGTTTCGAAAAGAATGAAGCCGGATTAAGGATTTGATTGGGGCCTGGTCTTGGGGAAGACGGAGCACATGTTTTTGGAACATTACAGGATGGCGGGCGGAGACAAATAGAGAAAACAGTTAAAAGATGGCTGAGAAAGAAATTCTCAGCTTGGTCTACAGAGGGGACAACAATGACTTGTTATCCACCACTACTGGGGGTGGAGAACATGTGCTTTGGAGATTTCCAAAATGGCAGCCGGCGACAGTTAAAAGAAGAAAGTTGCACCAGATGTAACAGTTTCTGTATTTCCCACCTCCACTCTGTATTCCCATTAAACAGTGTCTCCCCTGTCTCCATTTCCAAATGATCCTAACATTTTTTCTTCCTCCATTCTTAGGACCATGTGATTTTTGCTTGCATTACAAACGGTCTATGGACTTTTTCTAGGCTCTATGTGATTCTTTGTTTTAACGTTTATGTAATTGTTCTCTGCTTACATTAACACAATTTTCCCATTTATTGTTTAAACATTTTTACAAATTAGTGAGTTTAAGAGAGACTCTGATCAGAGTCTGCAACACATCACACACAGACACACACAGCAGCAGCACACCTGAAGATGCACATTAGCACACACACCCATGGGTCTTGGGCAAGAGACAAAGGACAGGACGCTGTCTGTGGAGCCGGTCTGGTAAGACAAAAGGGAGTCGTTCCCAGAGAGGTGCGACCCATAGGGACGTAGAGACGGTCAACAGTCCAGTGGGTGAATATATGTAAATAGTTAGCACAGAGGGAGACGTTTAAATGAGTGGGAAATAATGTGATTTGAGCCAAATCTGTAGACCTTGTTGTAAATAATTTGTTATTTTCTCTTAAACTTAGTGATAGGCTGCAAGTTGTTGAGTGTGGATATGAGATGTACAGTGCACGGTACATCTCATACAGCATCTTAATGACGGAAGCAAGTTTTAGATCATAGGATATGTTGTGTTCAAAAATGAAGAAACGCCGGACGGACAGAGGTCATCGCTGATCAAAAGGTTAAATCAAATGTATTTAATAAAGGAGATGGCGTTGCGGTAAAAAGAACATCTCAGCTGAGGAGCCGCTGGTCTCAGCGACCAACAGGCCCCAGGTCAGTCCTTTGACCATCCCTAGTGCCCGTCTGCTGCCTCCACCAGTGAACTCCAGAACAATGGTTCCTACAGGTATTTATACCAATGCTTAAAGGTGTGAAAGTCAGTGTCCACACCTCTGGGAGTCTTCTGGTGAGTTCAATGTAACTCGGATTTTGAATGACCCTTAGTCAATATCAGTTGTTGTTCAAGTATTACATGCATGCATTCCAGTTGATTACATTACATCAAATACAATCATAACTGCATTGGTATTATTCTATTACAGTGCAGAATTACAGTGGTTTTACAATATTGTCATTACTTTATTGATTACAGTTTCAGAATCATGGCTGTATTCTGGTGTACACTATATGCATTTTCATTAATTTTATGAACCGGGTCGTATATTTGTTTCTAATATCCTACAATCCATCCGTTTACACCAATTTTGGTGTAAAAACCAATCAGAGGGATCGGTTCATCAAATTCCTCAGTTTTGTCAGATGTGTCGTCTCTATTTGTTTAGCATAACGTTCGATCCAATATGATACGCTTGATCCTAAACATTCTAATCATAAGATGTGCCTCTGGACACCACTTGTTAACTTGTACCTGGCACAGAACAAAAACTCCCTCGAAAACCCTTTTTGGGAATAAAACGAGGAAGAAATCTGTCGGAGAGATTGAAAGATCTTCTCCCAGGATTTAACATTTCATCACGGATGTCATGTGTACAGTGTAAATTGACACAGGACACATTAATTTAATAAACCTAATGGCATCATGGGGCTGGTCTTCTCTGATGATTCTAATGATAAGAGTCCTGATGCAGAGGATGCAACAGCATCCACCTAGGAATAGAATGCTGGCCATAGTGGAGACTGTTATCACAGAAATAAACAATAAACAATTGTTTGTATTTACTAAATCATGAGTCCAATAAACCTGAGTAGCGGTTGTCAATGTCACTGTTCTCTGCTGGTTCTTCAGTGAGAGCTTTCAGCAGTGGTTCACCTCCATTCGTGTGTGCGGGTGTTTTCTCGACCATTTCAGGATCTCTTGTGCTCAATGGTTGTTGTTGTCCATGGGGCAGTGTTTGTAGAGGGGCCTGGAAACTTGGGAGTGTCTGTACTGGAAATCGATGGCTCTGATGTGACCCAATGGGTCTGAGGTTATGTCTGTGCTGGGCTGTCAATGTCCCCCATTAGTGTGAGGTGGTCTTGGAACTGTGCTGTCCCTCAAAAGGGAGACTGGAAGGTTGCTTGGACCCTTTCTGAATCGGTCCTAGTCTTGCTTCTGGTTCTCCTAGAACGATGCTTGTCTTGCTTCTGGTCCGGCTCTGCGGTGCTGGTTCTGCTGTGGTCCGTCCTGATGCTTCCTCCTGGTCGGTTCCTTTGGCGCCGCTCAGGTTGTTGACAGGTGGTCTCTCCTCTTGTGTGTCATGTCTCTCTGCTCCAGCAGGGGTAGAGGTGCGTCTTCTAGATCCTGTGTGTGACTTGAAACACATTAGACCCCCCCAGGTATTCCCATAGCTTCCATTCTACTGATGTGGCTTTTAGGTTAATGTAGTTTATCAATTATTGGTGATGCATTCCTGTCTGTTGTTCACTGTGTCTATAGTTATGTTTTGTTTAATCGGGACAATACTGTTACCTTAGTAAGTACAACTCAACGGAAAGGTGAATCTCTTTCACCGTCCGACCAGATGTTCAATGTGAATATGTCTATTTACTGTA